CTTTTAATTTCAGGGCTGCTGTCTCCATCTGCAGTGATCATGGATCCTGAGAAAGTAAAATCTGCCTCCATATCTTCCCCTTCTATTTGCCAGGAGGTGATGGGACCAGTGGCCATGATCTTAGTTTTTTTGATGTTGAGTTTTAGACCATTTTTTGCACTTTCCACTTTCACCCTCATTACAAGGTTCTTTAATTCCTCCTCACTTTCTGCCATCAGAGTGGTATCATCTGCATATTGGAGGTTGTTGATATTTCTTCCAGCAATCTTAATTACGGCTTGGGATTTCTCCAGTCCAGCCTTCTGCATGATGTATTCTGCATATTAGTTGAATAAGCCGGGGGACAATATACAGCCTTGTCGTACTCCTTTCCCAATTTTGAACCAATCAGTTGTTCCATATCCAGTTCTAACTGTTGCTTCCTGTCCCACATATAGGTTTCTCAGTAGATAGATATGGTGGCCAGGCACTCCCATTTCTTTGAGGACTTGCCATAGTTTGCTGTGGTCCACACAGTCAAAGGCTTTTGCATAGTCAATGAAGCAGAAGTAGATATTTTTCTGGAACTCTCTGGCTTTCTCCATAATCCAGCGCATGTTAGCAATTTGGTCTCTAGTTCCTCTGCCCCTTCGGAATCCAGCTTGTACTTCTGGGAGTTCTTGGTCCACATACGGCTGAAGCCTACCTTGCCGGATTTTGAGCATAACCTTGCTAGCGTGTGAAATGAGTGCAATTGTACGGTAGTTGGAGCATTCTTTGGCGTTGCCTTTCTTTGGGATTGGGGCAGTATGATGTAGATTTATCTAAATCATTTCATTCTGACTGAAGGCCTAATTAGGAAATAGATATTTTGCATGTCTTGATGGATGAATCGTAATGGGAAGGGGGAGTCTGTTGATGCTGATTTATTAATACCAGCCATGGTATATTTCTGAAGCATCTGTCTGAGATAAAACTTGGAAGTGTTCTTTTGCTGTGATTATGGTGCTTAGAGGGGTGACTGAACAATGTGGTGCTGAAACACTTACGAGGTTATAGTGTTCCTCAAGGTCCTATCTTGTACCCCATGCTCGGAGAAATTATTCACAATTCTGGGGTTTGCATTTAGGTGAACAAATGGAATTTTGATGTAGTGTTGTTTGCTGGTTCAAAGGCAGGCCATGGAATAGAAATTCAGTCTTATTGGATATGGTAATATTCCCTTTCATGACTCAAATTTGTTCATTTTTGAACAGTGGTCAGGAGTACATTTGCTAGTGCATCAAGTGCTCTCATTTTTGCAAGTGTCTTAATCTAGCCACAGTGCTGCATGACTCTGCATGTGGTCATGTGGGTGAAATAGATTGCAATTTGGCTTGCTTGTAGATACAATCTCTTTCCTGGTGATCACATGACAGCCTGACCCTGATCTGTGCGGAGAATGCTTATGTTAGAAAGAACAGCAGCTGGTAAATTAGTGCTGATCACAAAATGTGACTGGATGTTGGAATGGCTTTCTTGTCTAGGATTTGGAAACTAAGTTGGCAACTGAGTTTATAAGTCTAGCAATCATCTGACAAATTTAATGCATTTAATAAAAGAATACAATTTTTAAAAAACCAAGAGGACCTTATCTCATCTCTTATTTTTTTAATACATTTTATTATTTTTTTTCACTCTACCTACATTTGATTTGTCAAACATCATGTTACATGATTTGCTTAAAATTATCAATTATTTGTTTTTTACATCTCAGTGTCTTCCCAGTTGTCCCCCCAAATTCCAGACATCTTTCAAAATTCAAACCATTCATGTACGTATTTTAGTATATTGCCTACTATCATAATATTACTTTCATAGTGTACAATATTCTCAAGATCTTCTAATAACATTCTTAATAAAAGTAGTTCCAGATCCATGCCCCAACCTTATATCTAGTTTAATTTACCTAAAAAGAAAACCCACCATATTACATCTTTACCCTGGTTAGAGCTCCCTTATTTCAATTTAATTCTCCTTTTTAATATAAAGGATATGCTCCTTTACAATTCCAGAAGTTAGATATACTGTATACATGCTTTGCAACATTAAGGGCCCCCTTCCTATTTTTCCCTTTTTCATCTTTCTAAGTAATTCCCTCTCTTATTTCTCTTTTTTCACTTTTTGTTTCTGTCTCTCTAAGCATTCTGCCATCTTTCATGCCCTCTGAAACCATTTTGTGCATCTGATTTATCTCCACTAGATCTTTATGCACTTGGTCTATCTTCAATAGATCTTCCAGGCTTTTTAAAATTAATTTTGCTGATTTTCTCCCCTCGTCTTCCCTTAATACTCTCTTCGGATCCAAGATTGAAGTTGTTTCTCTTAGGTTTTCCCCATTAATTTCCTCCAGCTCCTCTTTTGATTGGCATACATCATCTGGCACACACTCATTTCCTTCTTCGTTATTCCCTGTCTCTTGTTGACTATAATTCTTCAGATGTTCATTGAATAATTTTGCCTCTTGATAGTGGGATCTCACTATTTCTAGTATTGTTTGAAGGGTAGATTTTATTTCATCCCAAAATTGTCCGTGTGCCATTCTGTTCCAGTTGTCCAAGAGCTTAAGCCAAGATTCGAAACCCCCAAGTCTCACAGTCCAGTTCGATGAGTGTATCTGTGGCCTAATTGAGCCCTGATAAATTGATGCTAGCCAAACAGATATTCCGTCTCCAGACTCAATTCAAAGAATCCGCTTTGGCTAAATAGACCTGAACCAAAATGTAAACCCCCAAAGTACCAAAGTACAATGCAATGGTTGTATCCATGGCCTGATGGCCTTATTCCCACAGATTTATGCCAGCTAGTCAAACACAAACACTTCCAGCTCCCGGGGCAGCTTCAGAGGATCTACTTTGGCCAAATAGGCCTGAACTGAGGTTCAAAACCCCAAAGTATCACAGTCCAATTCAGTGTTTGTATCCATGGCCTGGTAGCCTCGTTCCCGCAATTATGCATCAGCCAAAACTGAAATTCCAAGTCCCTGGAGGTGGTTCCAAAAAGTTCACTTTGGCCCAATATCCTGATTCCCAAAGTACAGTTTAAAAAGATCCACTTTAGGGTTAATTTGTCTATGTTCCAGCCAGGCATGAAAAAATCAAAAGGAAATAAAAAACAGTTTTCCAAGCTTTAAACAGCAGTAGAGTGTCCAAGGTCACTGTTCTGGGCATTATGCCAAAAGACTTCAGTTAGCCAAAATATAAGATAACTCCAGACTTAACTAGTAATAGCTTACGAGAAAATTTCTGAAGATTTATAACTCCAAATTATAATATTCTTAAAATATATTTTAAATGTATTTAAATGAATAGTTAATGTCCCATTAATCTTTAAATTATTTTCTTTGCATCAACTATCCCTCTCTCCAGATTTTCTGCCACTCTATGAGTGATGAGATTGATAGAAGATTCTTTTTTCTGTACATATATAGGAATTGTCTTCTCCAGGGGAATCATAAACAATTAGTTGTAAACATATATCTCACCTGATAATAACACTGATGTTGAATAGCTGATTGTTGCTTCTCTTATTGCCAGCTGCCAACGACTTGCAAGCAAGCTTCCTAGCTACTTGTTTCTGCCCATTCGCTGATTGGGGAGTTTCCT